AATGAGTAATATATTACATTCTTTGAGTAACTAGCCCAACACTGCCCCCGAGGCATCCTAGGTGTATATGACAATATATAAAAAATTGTCTTTGATCTTTCAAGCTCTATCATTGTAGTCAGCGGGTGTTGCATTGCTGCAGTCCAAAATAAGTTAAATAAAAAGCACCCATCCATAATAAAAAAAAGTGTCTCACAAGGCTCCGGGGCTGAACAAAGGCCTCATGTAGCGAATCGATGCATTTTTGTAAGAAAAATATCCATATTCAAAACGCCCTGCTGACTGCAAGGATAGAGCTTGAAAGATCAAAGACAATTTTTAATATAACTCCGACTGTATTCGTCTAAAAGAAGAAAGTCATATACACCTAGGATGCCTCGGCGGTGAGTAAAACACAGCGTAATTTTCATTTTTGGTGAACTAACCCTACTAGTCTAAACTTTGCTGGTCTTAGCTGGTTTCTCAGTCTCCATGTTGGCTGATTTTAAAGGGTGTTGGTCACTTTTCAAATTTTAAGTCACGCCTGGACCAGCTTGGCCAGGCTTAGAGACCATCCGCAAACCAGCACTGGCCAGCAAATCTGATGCCAAAACTGATTCGCTGGTCTTAGCTGGTTTCTTAGTCTCCATGTTAGTTGATTTTAGAGGGTGTTGGGCACTTTTCAATTCAATTCAATTCAGTTTATTTCTAAAGCACATTTAAAATCAACCTTGGTTGGCCAAAGTGCTGTACAAAGCTAGATAAAAAAAAAAGGATAAAATGGAAATAAATTCAAATTGAAGAATAAAAGCAAGAAACACATACACATTACAACGAATTAAAAGCACAGGAGAAGGAATGCGTATTTAACATGGATTTAAATTTGTCTAATGTGGAGGCAGTTCTGATGGTTAATGGCAAGTTGTTCCAAAGCTTGGGGCCAGCTACTGTGAAGGCTCTATCTCCCCTGCGTTGCAGACGGGATCATGGTAACAACAAAAGATGACCCTTCTGTGATCTAAGTGACCTAGAAGGATTGTAGGTAGTGATTAAATCAGAAAGATACCTAGGGGCTGAGAGTTGTTAAGAGCTTTGTAGACAAATAATAGAATTTTGTAGTCAATTCGATATCGGACCAGCAACCAAGTGCAAGGAGGTTAAAATTGGTGTAATATGGTCTCGTTTGCGGCTGCCTGTGAGTAGATGGGCAGTCACATTTTGGACCATTTGAAGGCGAGACATAGAAGAGAGAGGTAACCCAGCATAGAGAATTACAATAGTTGACTCGTGTTGAGATAAAAGCATGAATAACAGTTTCAAAACTTTTCCTGCTTAGGAAGGGTTTAACTTTAGCTAACTGACGAATATGATCAAAACTAGTACTAACTATGGTATGAATTTGTTTATCTAATTTGAGACTATTATCTAGTTACAAAACTAAGATCTTTGACATCTGATGCAACTTTTAACTTTTAAGCCACCCCTGAACCAGTTTGGCTTGGAGACCATCGCAAACCAGCTAATGTCAGCAAATCTGATTTAAAATAATGTTATCTTAAACCAGCCTAAACTGGTTTGCTGGTATTAGCTGGTTTCTCAATCGCCCTTTTGGCTGATTTTATAGGGTTTTGAGCACTTTTCAACTTTTAAGACACCCCTGGACCAGCTCGTTTAGGCTTGGAGACCATAATTTTAATAATAATTGTTGTATTATTTATTTATTGCAGCTCGGTCACAACAATATAAACAATATAATAGTATTAGGGCCCTTAATTTATATTACTCTGCTTGGACCCCAAACCTGAGTCCTTCCAAGATTCTGTCAATGAGAAACCTTGTTTGCTATCTAAATCTTTTGCCAGCTCTAGTACATTATCCATCTTTGTCAAATTCAATGCAAGGTTGCATTCCCAAATTCATTTGGTAAACTGGCTGCATTACATATTGTGTTTTTACACATTTTTATGTATTTACCTAAATTTCACTAAAACACCCCCAGAATGCTCATTTGGATGTGCACATCTGTGTGTTTGTGCTTTAAAAGAGCCAGTCTGACAGTCATTCACAATGGAAAAAACATTCCAGAGAACTAAAACTGCTTATTCATATGTGAATATCCAGCTCACTTCATAGGAATAGCATATTTATCAAGCAACTATTTCTGAATTTTGTTCTAGCAACGTGTTTGTTAATATAAAGCTACAAAATAAAAATGAACTGCATGTACACAACAGACACAGACATTCTGCAGTGTTATAGACTTTATCACATCTAGAAAAGATTATATATGCAATATGTAACATATGCAGCAAACTACACAGTAATGGGTTATATTAACCTATATATTTCTGTTCTGCAGGCATGAGTCATAAGCAAAGAAATAACCAACGCCTTCCATTGACTCAATAAAGCAGATCTCTCCTGCCATCTACAGTTCAAACTGAGAAATTGCGTATTATGTGACCACAATTCTTGAACAGAAATAACAGCAAAACAAAAAAAAAC